TGTGCTTGTTACAGGGGGTTTTACTGTTCATTCTGAACAGTACTTCCCAACCAGGGCTTATTTTATCAGTGTAAATCACTCTGTTTCTCTGAAAATCAGGGTGGTTTTAGCAAGGTCACTCTGTACCTCTGGGTAATTTTTTTGAGAGTTATGCTTTCTCTGATTTGTCAGAGTAGTCTTGTTAGGCCCTCTGATGTCCCAGTGTTTCTTTTACTCTGATGTATCGCCGAACATCCGTTCCCCCCCTTATCCTTACGTTACCGGTTTTTACCCGAACCGCACCGGAAATCCCTCTGGTTTCCGCGTGTGTTGGCAGCAGCTTGTACGGTGATTGGCTGGTAGGGCATCTTTCAGGCCAGCGCACGCTGTGAGCCGCCCACCGTATACTTAGCTGGATTTTTGGAAACCGAACACGATGTACATCACCCAACCTTACAGGCAGCATTCAGGAGGTTCGTATGCGGCCCAACTTTCGTGTGCGGCGCGCAGGGAAAGGTCTGTTGCTCGGCTGGCTGACGGGGTTGGCACCAAACCCCACATTCTCTCCCATTATCTCCCCTTCCATTGACGAGCACTACATCGCACCAGTGGTGCTTGTTCTCAGTGGGGTTTCAAGGCACAGCCCCGCGCACCATGGATACTGACGCCGATGCAGACGCGGCTGATCCGGATGATAGGCCATCGTGTAGCAGTCGTCCAGTGACTGGGCTTCAGTTTCTCCGTAGTGTGCATCAGGCGCACATGCGCGACGATGACGAGGACGGTGACGGCGGTACAGAATGGGTGCGACGCCCTTGCCCGGAAGGTGGCGAAGCGGTTGACGGTATCGACTTCTGGTGTCGATCGCCACACGGGGAGCCTGAGGCTGCGGATTCCGACGGCATTGAGGAATGGGTCGCATCGCCGCGAACGGAGGAACCTGCTGAACCGGCCGCGACGGTTCCAACCCAAGTCATTGATGCCGCCACACCGGAGTCGACGGGATCAATGGCCCCGAAAAAGCGACGAATGACGCAGCAAGTGTTGCAGTGGGGAACCCCGCCGCCGAAACCCCCCGCTCCGCCTCCCGCCTCTGTACCACCCCCCATTCCTCCCCTTTCAGACGTGGAGAAGAGAGAGAAGGCTTACCTGAAAGCCCAGGAGAATTACACCTCGGAATGGCTGCCGAGGTTCGATTGGTTGATTCTTGACAAGACCCCCGAAGGCGAGCCGTGTCTGCGTTGCAGTGTGTGCATGGAGCACGGGAAGGATAACGCACGATACGGCCGAAATGGCGCTGGCGGACGTGATCTGCAGCTTGGCTCCATGCGGTGGCACGAGAACAGCATGAAGCATGATGACGCGATGAAGAAGCAGGCGAATTTGATGAAGAAAATTACTGATCAGAAGAAAATCGCCGACTTCATGAAAGGCGATCCCGAAGGCTCACGCGTCGCGCGCCTCATGCGGGCCATTCGTTTTGTGTGCCGCACCGACACGCCCATCCACATGTTTCCCCAGATCGTCCAGTTCCTTGCGGAGGAGGGTGTCGCCGACATCCCGCGTCAGAGCTACGGCGTATACATCACCCAGTGAGTTCAACATGTGAAGTATTTAATAAAAATTTTCCCCGTGTTGTTAATTATGCTAATACGTTTTCCATTTTTGTCGGAAAATTGTGTCAGGTACGGTTTCGCGGAAATGGTCAGAGCTCTGACCACGTACCTGAGCAGAGAACAGCTCCGACACCTGCACGCCTCACCCTTCATCGGCATAATGTGCGACGAGAGTACCGACCGCGCGCGTGGCAAACACATGATTGTGTTTGCCACTTTCCTGAAGAACCGGGTGGTCGTCACCGAGTTTCTCGCGTTACTGACTGTCGAGCAGTGTGATGCTGCCTCGCTGCTTGGAGTTCTACTCCAGCATCTCGAGAGCATTGGCGTCGAGCTACGGAAGATCGCGGGGATTTCGACCGACGGCGCAGCGGTGATGATCGGTGGCACGTCAGGCCTTGTGACGAGACTGCGGCTGCGCATCCCCCATCTGGTCGGGGTTCACTGCATTGCGCATCGGTACGTATGTTTAACTAAAATTACATGTTAGTCTAATTTCAAAACATATATCACACTTTCTGTTACAACCTACTGACACGTGTCTCGTCTACTTACTCGTGCAGTGAAGCTCTGGCTGTCAAGGAATCGGCGGAGAAATTCCCTGACTTGGCGATCATGGATAAGTCGATCAGGGCGGTTGGCGAGATCGTGGGAAAATCCACGCCCTGGCACGAGAGTTTCAAGGAGCTGCAACAAGTGATTCACAGCACCAACCTGGAGCACCAGGGACTGCACGACGTGCGTTGGCTCTCCCGTGATGATGCTATTTTGCGCATGGTCAAGATCTTGGGGGCGGCGATCGTTGTCTTACTGGAGTGGGATCACAAGATCGCGCCAGTGGTGCAGACTTTGAAGTACCACTTCTGTCTGTACTTTCTGGCAGACATCCTGGGGGAGATGAACTCGGTGAACCGCTTTTTCCAGCGGTGGAAAGTAAGTGCCTGATCATTATTTACGGCTGTTTAACTAATTGTTTCAACAATCACTAACTACAAGTTTGTTTTTCTTCCACCCCTCCAAACAGGTGGAAGTGACCCAAGTTTCGGAGGAGGTGGACCGCGTGGTGTCGTACATACAGCACAGATACATCGACTACGACCGCACGTTCGGGGCGGGAATGAGCAACCACCTGTCGCCATTCCTGGCACGGCTCAAGGACACAGAGAAAAAAATAACAGTTGAAGGGGTGGACGCGGAGGGCCGTGTTGCCCGGCATGTCATCAAGCTCAGCGAGGAGCACATCCCTGGGCACAAGTACGGCAGCACCATGGCTGATTGCGTGAAGCTGTGCAAGGCATTCTCCCAGGAGGTCGTGTACAATCTGACGCACCGCATGCGAGATCTGAGGCGGCTGGGCGGCACGAAGCTGTTCAAAGTCGAGAAGTGGCCACCAAACCTGGACACACGTGCGCGACGATGTGCCAGCTGGCTTCGGGAGAACGCTGTTCTGTTCAACAACCAATTGCCAGGTATGGAAGTCACTCGAAATTTGTTTACGGGGGTGTTACGATTGACACTTGAAGTTTGATTTTTACAATTGTTTAATCTGGTTGTTGCCACAAATTTAATTTCGCTTGTTATACATGCACATTCGTGCCCACTGATATGGCAGGTTTCGATTTGCGGGCAGCCGAGCTGGAGCTGAAAACATTCTGTCACATCCTGAAGAACCACCACAAGGACGAGGACTTCTTCCAGGGGCTCACCAACATGCTGGCGACTCGCGATTGGCAACGCACTTACCCCAACATCGTGACCATGTGGCAGGCGTTGGCCGTCCTGCCAATAAGCACCGTCGAGTGTGAACGTGACTTTTTGCGCCAAAACATCATCAAGAGCTGGCAGCGCACGACTGTCAACGACGCGCGTCTGACGGAACTCATGAGCATCCACATGGAGTGGCCAGATGTCGTGGACATCTGGCACAAGCAGAAAAAGCGTCGACCTGCAAAAGCACCTGCGCCATTCCGAGGTGCAACCAACAGGGGGAAAGAAAAAGTTGAATCTGACTCAGAGAATGAACCTGAGGCTGCCGGGGAGCAAAATACCTCGGAGGGGTGAGAGGTTTAGTTTGTGCTATGTACCTCTCAATTTTAATATAAATTGAATAATTCAATCTCGATCCGTTTCAACACCCTTCAATTAAACACCGTGGGAGACCAGAACTACAGTAACGCCATATTTCGTGAAACATCAGTGTAGACAATAAAACTACACTAACACCTCAGGGTTCTTATTAAAAAAAACAAAATTACTCTGATCAATCAGAGAAACGACACGAAACCACTCTGAATTTCAGAGTCTCGTGAAAAACCACCCTTGAAACCAGTGTGCTCAAAATAAAAAAAACCCATGTTTCCAACCTTATCATCATCTTATCTTCTTGGATTTCCTAGTGCCACGTGGCAGTCTAGTTTCTTGCCTTCTACTTTCTAGTCCCACGAAGTACTTTCCAACTGTCGCTCTTGCATGCTATGTAATGCTTGCTTGTTTTCACCAATATCAACCAATTCTCATTCAACTATTACTCAGTTACTTATTCGCATATTTCGCTAACACTTCCTTCGCCAAAGTCTTCCACCGCGCTTCATCCTCAATCTAGTCAACCCCGCTATTCTTTAGCGGATTTAGGCCAAGGGGCCTAACGCATGGTATCAGGAGCATTCACGGGGAGCGACTTCCAATGAGCGACCGTCGACGACGAGACTACGACGTCATCGTCCCGCGGTGCCGACTTGCAAACTTGGAGTCGTCGAGCCGACATGGATGAAACCATGACCGCTGTCCCCAACGACATGGGCAACACGCTTGCTCAACTCATGCGCCAACTTGAAACATTGACGCTCGAAAATCGTCAGGTACGGGCTGAAATGCAACAGCTTCGTGAATTCGCGTCTATTCCTCTTGGTCATGCCGCACCATCTCCTGCACCCAACACGTCGACTAGCGCGGAAGTGCTGCCGGAACGTCGAAGCGTGCTCAGGCCACAGAAGCCCAAGCCGTTCGACCCAAGCCAACGCGACGCAAACGTGCGGACGTGGATCTTCATGCTCAACAACTACTTCGCCGCGAGCGGGGTGCAAGAGTCGCACGTGCAGCAGCGGATCGAGTACTCCGTTACGCTGCTGAGGGGCTCCGCCTTGGAGTGGTGGCGCCAACTCATGCAAACTGCTGTAAGAATGGCTCATTTGGACGGGCATCAACAAGGCGAGGGGCATGCAGCTGCAACTTCGGGATTAGGGAGTTTAGCTTTGGGTGTTACCACGGTTCCGACGACATGGGAAGGATTTGAAGCGGCGCTGAAAAGTATATTCGATTTGGTGAATGCCTCCGAAGCTGCTAGGAAGCGTCTGCGTCATTTCCGACAGATAGGAAACGTCCAGGAGTACACACGACGGTTCTTGAGCATCTGCAACGAGATAGACGATATCACGGAAGCAGAGATGCGCGATCGCTACCTCGAAGGATTGAAGCCGGACATAGCGGAGATCATAGCGATTCACGGGTTGTCCACCTTCGAGTCGGTAGTCACAGCAGCAGAACGCGTCGACGCAGTACGAAGCCGGATCGCGATAGGGGATACAACAAACCGATCAACGACGCTCGGTCGAGGGACGGACCGTCGCCCATGGAGATTGGTGCAATTAACAGTGACGGCTCACAGAAAACGGGTTTTAGGGGGAACTGTCACTACTGCAAAAAGCCGGGACACATGAAGCGGGACTGCCCACAGCTTAAGGAGCGGCAGCAGGGAAACGAAAACCGCCAGTAGATAGCGGGTCGCTAGCTGGTGTTAACGCTTCCGAACCCGCCACGTCTACCAACGTAGAGGAGACGACCTTAGAGCAGTCATCTACGCCGAACGAGGTAGACACTGTTGATCGTCCAGTCGTGCTTTTATGGAATCTTCGCGGTATTCCAGTCAAGATTCTCGTCGATAGCGGAGCTAGCCACTCATTCGTCTCTTCATCGCTAGTTAGTCGTCTCCATCTCGAAGCAGATTCGGCAGTCAACTTCAAGGACGCTCGCATGGTAGATGGGACGCCTCGCCACATAGGACCAGTCATTCGCAAGTTGCGCGTAGTGCGAGGACCGATCACGGTTAGGCGTGACTTCGACTCTGCAACGCTGGACGGTTATGATTTCATCTTCGGGAGGAATTGGCTACGAACGGTTAGTACTCAGTTCGATTGGGCCCAGGGAAGTTGTAGCGTCAAGGTAGACGGGGAGTTCCGGGAGCTGCCACAGTGGAGCGATGGGGCCACATCATCCGCAGCTATCATCAATGCTGTTCGTGTGCAGCAGCTGGTGAAGCGCGCGGCACGGATCTTCGTGGTTTTCCTTGAGGAGGTGGAAGCTGAGGAGGGGAGGGGGTGCAGCAGTTGGCGAGAAGGCGACTCTTCCTGCTGAGGTGAGTGCACTGTTAGCAGAGTTCGCAGACGTCTTCCCCGACGAGTTGCCCCCATGGTTACCTCCTAGCCGAGCAGTCGACCATCGAATAGAGTTGGAGCCGGGGAGCAGGCCAGTAGCGAAGCCGCAGTGGAGGTTAAGTCCAGCAGAGACAGAGGAGATGACGCAGCAGGTTAGGCATTTCCTAGCGAAGGGTTTCATACAGCCATCTATATCGCCTTGGGCAGCACCGATCCTTTTCGCACCCAAGAAAGACGGAGGGTTACGGATGTGCATCGATTACCGCGCACTGAACGTCGCCATCGTCAAGAATAGATTCCCAGTGCCGAGAGTTGAGGATCTTCTAGATGCGGTGCAGGGCGCTAGAGTCTTCTCAAAGATCGACCTTCGTTCGGGTTACCACCAGATTCGAGTAGTTCCTGAGGATCAGGACAAGACGGCGTTTCGTACGAAGCAGGGGTTGTACAAGTTTAGGGTTCTACCGTTCGGTTTGACCAACGCCCCAGCGACGTTTCAGACGCTCAAGAGCACCGTCCTCTTCGAGTTCCTAGGTTCGTTCGTCGTAGTTTACCTAGACGACATCCTCATCTTCTCCAAGACGAAAGAGGAGCACGTGCAGCACTTGCAGAAGGTCTTCGAGGTCTTGCGGAGGGAGCAGTTGTACGCTAAGCAGTCGAAGTGCGAGTTCTTCCTCCCCGAAGTCGAGTTTCTACGTCACGTCGTATCTGCTAGTGGCATTAGGACCGACCCGAAGAAGATCGCAGCAATACCGGACTGGATAGCTTCGACCTCAGTCAAGGAGTTGCAAAGCTTTCTCGGATTCACGAATTACTACCGTCGTTTCGTTCAGGGTTACGCATCGATCGCTAGTCCACTCACCGACCTACTTCGGAAGGGCGTAGATTTCGATTGGGGTCCTGCGCAGCAGCAGGCGTTCGAGCAGATGAAACATTCGCTCACGTCTTCACCAACACGGTCGTACCCAGATCCCACTCGCCCGTACGTTGTCGTGACCGACGCATCAGATCGGGCCATTGGAGCAGTGCTTCTTCAGGACCAGGGCCTCGGGTTGCATCCGATAGCATACGACTCGTGTAAGCTTAGGGGAGCGGAGCTGAACTATCCCATTCACGACAAGGAGGTGCTCGCATTTATTCATGCGTATAAGGTTTGGAGGTGCTACCTAGAGGGGGCAGATAGTGTTATACGCACGGGCGCTTCGTTTCCTCAAGTCGCAGCCGCAGCTGAGTCGTAGCCAGGCTAGATGGATGGAGTTCATGGAGGGGAGTTTCCACGACAGGATAGAGTACAAGCCAGGCGTGCGCAACCCAGCAGATCCGCTCACTCGCCCTAGTTGCCAGCTCGCCATCCTCACAGTCACTGCCGGCCATCCACTTCTCACAGCACTCTTCAAGCTCGGTTACACAGTAGATCCCGACTTCACACTGCAGCCGCCCGCAGGAGCAGAGGTGCAGGGTAGTGTCTACATACGGAAGGGTACCACACGGATTTGGGTTCCCGCCTACCGCCCTCTT